TAACCTGATTTGACTATTGAGGTAATTCTTTGTACATTAGCAGCCCAATCAGTAGAATACCACCAGTAACACTTGCCATTATCAGAAACAAAACAGGAACACTTTCTATAATTTCATCATTGTAAAAAATCTGAAAAATATAGAAAGTTTACGCGTTAATGAAAAATTAAGCTGGTTTATGAAATAATTTAATACTATATTGATGACGGTAAATAACGTTACACCCCCTAGTGGCACTTCTGTAACTCTACGGACGAATAAGGATAGAAACCGGGTTTGGGTAAACGTAGAGGGCACAATAGAGACAGTCCATTCTGTAGCTTTGTGTTTAACTACAAACAATGAAATCAGCACAAAGAAATAGCTATTTCCAAATTCCGTGAATTTAATGAAGAACAATGTATAACCCTATAAAGCTATTTTACAAACCATCTAAGCATTTTCTTAAGGTTAGGAAATATTTTCATGAAAAAAAAAATAAAACCTGAGGACTTTATTTATTCGTAAACATGACTTTAGCCTTTTTAGTGTTGCTTTCTTTGGACTTTAAGTTAAGTAATATAAATATTTTATTTCTTGTACGCTCTAAAATAAAATAATTAGCATTCATTTCAAACAACAATGTACAGGATCCCTTGAGATAAACACGATAATAAAATCTAGATTATTATTTTTTCTTATATATTTATTTATTCTTCCGAGATATTCTAAATATTTGTGACCTATACAATGAAAAAATAATACCTAAAAGAAACAAATTAAGCGACTTTTTGAGGATTTATTGAAGATAAAATAAAATAACGTTAAAACTAGTAGTCTATGTTTTACTTCAAGAAGCATCACGTAAGTAAACAGAAACTTGTAACTTACCCATCAGAAGCAGGTTGGAGATTACCAGGATTCACAAAGAATGTCTGTACACTATTCATAAAGAGAGGAGTTAACGCTAAACCTGAAACCACTATCCCTGTCACGAGGCCTTTGTTATTGGGAAAACCACTGTCAAAAGATTTGGTAATTTATTTCGTGACGTATCTTTTTAAATACACAAACTAAATGTTATATCGATTTATAAGTTTGGACGTATATTATATGAACTGTATAGCGTGTGTTTATTAGTGGTAGATCGGTATTTGTATCAGCATATACATTGAGCATAGATTATAGATGTACACGAAAGCTTAGAAGAAAATATAAATCTTCTACACATTAGTGACACCTGTACCTAGATTCCCGAGAATGGTCTAATTAATATTTCTCTACAAATTTTAATTGTCTGTTGCTTTGGTCATCCCCTAGTCACTGCTATAGAGGTGAGTACAATTGTTTTAAAAACATCTCACTATAAAAATATACTTACGAAAAATACAAGAATATCTGTTTTAAATATTTAATTTTACCTTCCAATCATTTAAAAAGTAAAAAACTTCATATGTGAAAACATCAGGGAATCCTCAATAGCCTCGGCTGTAATTAGATCTGAAATCGGTCAAGATATGGAGCTATGAGATAAAAGTTTGTACTTTGAGCAACTATACCGCGGCTAAAAACAAACATAAAAATATGAAAAAACTGTCATCGCTCTGTGGATACTCAACGTCCATAGTCTAAACAATTATTCAATACGTGTTTGTTTAAGTCTTCGAAAACATTAAATTGAATTGAACTATACTTTTTAACCCAAAGTATCAATCACTCCATAAGTGATTATGGTAGCTACCAGGCTGTGTTGTATACTCCAGTACGTCACTGCTATTCTAAAGCTAATAAATACAAATATTTTTGTAACATGAATAAATTTGCCACAATCTTTTAAACGGGAACTACGAAAATTGAAAATACATTAAACTGACATCAACATAAAACATATTAGGTGAAGAGCTGTCTTTTATGATCTACAAAAAGATAATAACTGAAAGGCAACATTATCATCTCTACACTTCCATTATATTTCCTTTATTTTTGTTTTACCATCACTACCGTTGTTCCTTTATCTAAGCAGTACAGTTATGTTTATTTTCCACTTTCAGCATCGCCATCTCTAATCTTGTTATACAGTACCAACATATATGATATTTCTATATTTCACCATTATCATTGTTTTCCATGTGTGAAGGTGTTGTAACTTCTTCAGTCGTTGGGTATGTTGTTTTGGATTATTTTGAAAAGTATAAGGTTGGTTGTTTTTATTATCTTGTGCTTCTTTCTTTTTACAGTGTTTGCATTTTTTATTCACATATGATCTTCAAGATAAATCATCAGCATTTCCCAAGACGATGTACAGTGTTACTTAAATTCTCTGAAGATTAATGAGCAATCTTGCTTTATAGATTTCTGAAATTTCAAACTTTACAAAATAATTCAATGCTGCATGATCTGACAGAAATGTGTAGTTTTGTCCATATAGCTAATAATGGAAATGACTTATGTCTTGTAAAACAGTTAGTAGCTTTGTCCGAGATGTACAAGAACTCCTTTCTGTAGCATTCATTGCCGTGCTATAATATAAAATCACTTGCTATTTTTGA